AAACTGGCGTCGCATTCGGGAGTCCACTGATACTTGACGTCTTTCCGAGTTAATCGTGTGAGTGGAGAGGCAAGCTTTGAGAAATCCTTTACGAATTTGCGGTAGTAGCCGGCTAGTCCAAGGAAACTTCGAATTTCCTTCGCATTCTTCGGAATTGACCAATTTGACACGGCTTCTATTTTGCTGGGATCGACGGAGATTCCTTGTTTCGAAACAATGTGACCAAGGAAAGCCACACTCGAAAGCCAGAACTCGCATTTGCTGAACTTGGCGTATAGTTGGTGTGATCGGAGAGTTTGGAGTACGGTACGAAGGTGAGACATATGATCTTCTTGGGTTTTGGAGTAGATGAGAATGTCGTCGATGAAGACAATCACGAACTGGTCCAAGTATTGATGGAAGACTCGGTTCATCAGGTCCATGAAAGCTGCGGGGGCGTTGGTTAAGCCGAAGGGCATAACAACGAATTCATAATGGCCGTATCGGGTTCTGAAAGCCGTTTTGGGGATATCGGATTCTTTGATTTTGAGTTGGTGATAGCCGGATCGGAGGTCGATTTTTGAGAAGACCGATGAGCCTTGGAGTTGGTCGAAAAGATCATCGATTCGAGGAAGAGGGTATTTATTCTTGATCGTGACTTTGTTGAGTTCCCGATAGTCGATGCAAAGGCGGAGGGATCCGTCTTTCTTTTTGACAAAGAGAACCGGTGCTCCCCACGGGGAATGGCTGGGTCGAACATAGCCTTTGTCGAGCAATTCTTGGACTTGGTTCTTCAGTTCCTTTAATTCCATCGGGGCCATGCGGTACGGTGCTTTGGAAATTGGCGCGGCTCCGGGGATCAGGTTGATTTCGAACTCGATCTCTCGATCGGGCGGAAGTCCGGGAATATCATCGGGAAATACGTCGGGAAATTCTTGGACAGCTCGAATATCGGAAATTTGGGCTTTGGGATCGGACTCGGATTTTAGAATATCCACTAAGTAGCCGGAATGACCCTTGTGAAGGAGTTTGACTGCTTTGATCGCGGATATGATTGGAATCGAGGGTTTGGGTTGACTTCGAAATTTTAGGGTTTCGCCGTTCGGAAGTGGAAAAATGACCGTTTTAGAGGCACAGTCGATTTGGGCTTTGAATTTGGTTAACCAGTTCATGCCTAGTATAACTTTGAAGTTTTGGATCGGTAAGAGGATTAGGTCGAAATTCATGGTTTGAGTATGAACTCGGATTGGGCAATTGAGTATGACTAGGTTAGAGCACATTTCTTCGCCAGAGGGAATGAGAATTCGGTATTCGTAATTTAATCGGTTCGGTTCGAGATTTAAGTGCGCAATTATGTCTTTCGATATAAAGGAATGAGTAGAGCCGGAATCGATAAGAGCGTAAATGGGTTCTTCGAGGATAAATATGGTACCTGCTATCATTGACGGGTCTTGCTCGATCTGTTCTTGAGTCATGGCGAACACTCGACCGGGGACGTTCGGTGGAGGTTTCGGGCAGTCTTTCACCATGTGTCCGGGCTGATGGCATCGAAAACAGCTCCGTGTTCCGTGTACGCATTCTCCGGAGTGACTCTTTCCACACTTTGGGCAGGTTGGTCTTGGCGGCGGTGGCGGTGGTCCGGTTGATTGGCGAATGGGCTGCGTTCCTTTCCCTCGGAATGGGCGGTTGCCAAAGTTGTTCTTTTTCCACGGGCGTGGAGTAATTCCTTGTGGTCGGCGGCTATTTTGAATATCTCGTTCGTCTTGGGCAGCCATGAGTGCCTTGTCTACTAGTTGGCGGAAAGTTGAGGCGTCGGACATACGAATGTCTCTACGGACTTCGGGTTGGAGGCCACGAATGAAATGGTTCTTCTTTTCTTCGGCGTCTCGAGCGATGAATGGAGCGTAGAGGCAGCCACGTTCGAAACGGCGGATGTACTCGATCATCGGTAAGTCGCCTTGTCGGAGTTCGAGAAATTCCTTGAGTTTGTGGGCTCGCACGTCTTTCGAGAAGTATTTTTCGAAAAATTGGACTTTGAAATCGGTCCATGGCAAAGTTTCGAGGTTTGTTCCTTCTTTGATTCCTTCCCACCAGTTACGAGCTTCGTTTCGGAGGAGGAAAATGGCACAGTGCACGCGGTCGCGGTCGGTCATTTGCATGTAATCGTAGATGACTTCGAGAGATTTGATCCACTCTTCGGCTATAGTGGGGTCGGTTCCACCGTGAAATTCGGATGGGTTCATTCGGAGAAATCGTTCGTATATGGCTTGAGGCGCATTATTTTGAGGCGGGTTTTGGTTACGTTGGAGAAGTTGTTCGATTTGACGTTGGTGGTTTTGGGCTTGTTCTCGGATTAAATTGGAGAGATTATTAATGGTTTGATTGGGGTCGTGCGGTTCATCGGCGGGATTGCTCGGGTTTGCTCGGGTTATACGTCTCGCCATTATTTCTATATTAATTATCATTAATAAGTAAAGCAAATAAAACACATAAGGAAAATAATACACATACGTTACCGGGTGGTCCGAGTTTTGCGTCTCGAGTAGTCTCTAAGCCCGTGAAGTTCGTACGAGTATCTATGAACAATGCTCTGATACCACTCTCTGTAGCACCCCCCTTCTAGTCGGGCGATAAATCGAACCGGTTTATCGGAATTTCTTACTAAAGTAGCGGAAGCAAAGGATCTCTTTGTAATTTTTGAAATGTTGGGATGGGGTGAAAATACAATTATCGAAACTTTGTTCTTTTGGGTGTTGAAGACTTGGCATTTTCGAAAACTTTTATTGAATTGATTTAGCCGAATATAAATCTCGGTTGGAAATGAATTTCGAAAGGAGGTTTCTTATTCGAGTGCTACATTCTCACTAAACGTTCTTTTCGGTTCGAGAATAAATCAGAGTTCGAAAAGGTTATTTTGGTGAATAATCCGAAGTTTCCTAACGAAGGCATGAAAATGGCGATTTACGAAACTTAATATATTTAAGCTGGGAAATAAGTACGATTCATAATGAAAAACGAGTTCAAAAGTACGAAAGGGAAATGTTACGGTTTTAGGGTTACACCACCAAAAGAAATAACCAAAATTCTAGCATTCGTTCATAGGTCCTCGTACGTCTTCCAAAATCCCGGGCAAGACCTCGATCCACTACTCGATCCATCCCGGTTGAGGATTACTACTACCTGCAATTAAAAGACATCTATATGAGCTAAAAAAAGCTCAGTAAGAAATCCGAGTATTATCAAACTTTAGAAATACGTTATATACATAATATATATAATAGAGTATACCCGTTCTTACCCACGTTTCGCACAACAACACAAGGCAATCGGTCAAATCACATATTTCACGAAAGCACATCATTTCACAAGATCACGTAATTATGCAAAAATGACTAAAATGCCCTTTTTGTGAAAATCATGAAAAACACATTTTTCGGTTTATCGGATCCGTGAAAGATTAATTTCTGTACCGAATAATAAACCTGTTACGAGCCCGTTTTCACTAAGTGGAATCAAACCACTACCACATCATCCTAGTTGGATACCGGCCCACTATATCCGAGTTGTTTATTACCCGATATTCCATTAACCTTTCAAATAAAATCATTTAATGCACTTTTCGAAATTATGCATATGACCCACACATAACATCACAAATGTCAATCAAGTATCACAAATCACACAAATACCACAATTTACCACATATTTATGATTTGGGCAAAACTCCCAAATTCACACACATAAATACACAATCACACACGGCACACACACCATGCACAATCAGCACACACACCTTCACACAATTTCAGCATACACACATGCACAATCAACACATTAAACTTCACTAATTACTCATCAAAGCAAGCTCAAGAACAAAACACCTTTTTACCTTCATTTAATGGACTTATTACCACATCTAGGTAATAATCCATTCAAATCAATTTCCACAGCCATTAAACACATCCAACCGAAATTAAAGTACTACAAATACTATAATCCATCATTCATCACCATTATATCAAGAATAGAAGCATTAAGGCACAAAATATATTAAATGACATGCATAATGTCTAAATTTCGAAATATTAGCAAATAAATTCCAAAATTTCTCAAATTAAATCCTAGAACTCCTAACTGACTCAAATTCCAGATTCTGAAATTATTTTAAAGTTTCACAAAGTTTCGAATTTTCTTGAAATAAAATTCAGGAAAATCCCTTTTTAAATTTAAAAATCCAAAACTCTTGTATATCTCTAATTAATTTAAAAACTTGTTAAATAAAACTTTTTCCTATCTAATACTTGCTGAAAAACAGATTCAAACTTTAAAAATGAGAGATTTTTCAGAAATTGCAGTTTTGACCCAAAAGTTTCGAAATATACACATGCAACCACACTAGAAGTTCAAAATCACCTTTTTCTTGAAAACCCCTAACAAATCTGAAATTCCACTTTATGAGATGCAGAAAATGAATTTGAAAAGTCTCTTTATGCAGAAATTTCGGAAATTGCATAATTTGCCCCAAAATCTCTAGATCTACACATGCAAGTCTATTAAAACTTCAAAATCGACTTTTTCTTACAAAAATCCTTTAAATCCGAAAATCTTGTTCAATAAATGCTGGAAATCAGTTTTGAAAAACCTTTTTCGGACAAACTTTACAAAAATTACAGATTTGGCCCAAACTTTCGAAGATCTACACATGCAACCACAAAAAGTTAAAAATTTCATTTTCTTGAAAAACCCCTTTTTGAAATCTGAAATTCTCAAGGCTTTTGGCCAATAAATGCTGCATCTAACCACTATCAACATAGATTATGCATGCAAGAACAAGAATTTAACAAGAAACACTAAATTTCCATTTTTCTTCAAAAAGCCCCAAATTCTCGAAATCTTTCCCAATCTTTTAAAATTTCATAAAAAATCTTTTCAATACTATTGATGCCATTTAATTGCAGCAAGAATCGGAAATTCTTACCTTAAGATCGAAGAAGAAAAATGGCCAAAAGGAAGAAAAACTTTCAAGCACCAAAGTCTAGCCAAGCCACCTTGATGGTGAAGGAGATGGTGTGAGCTTCAAGGAGGGAGGAGTTGTGGTCTCCCGTAAGAAGGCAGGTGGTTTTCACGGTGTTCTTGGAGTAGTCCAAGGCAAGAGTTAAATAGGGAACTCTCATGGTTATATTGGGAATTCTTTGGAAATTATGAAGTGAGGTGGAGAGAGGAGAGCCGATGATGGTGGTGATGGCTTCGGTGGAGAGAGGGGAGAGAGACAAGTAATGTGGCAAGGTGTTGGAAGAAGAAAGATGAAGGGTGTCTCTTCATCTTTCAAAGGGAGTGTTGAGTGTAGGCTTAGGCAAAATGATTAGAGTTTGCCAAGTGTAATAACATGCACAATTATTCACTAATTAATTTATTAAAAATAAACACAACTTGCATAATTACCACACACACACACATAATCCGAGTACACACACACACACACAATTCGGACATATATATATATTTATATATATATATATATATATATGTGTATATTTAGGTGTATAATGCAAGTATTAACATATATATATGTATACGTATGCATGCATGTATGTACGTATATATATAGGCATATATATGTATATATATATATATATATATTCCACATAACTTACTAAGTGATTTATCAACTAGATAAAATACGCAATTATTCACATAATTCACGTAATTCATGAAATTCCTAGAATTTCAATTTACGAAAATATAAATAACACATATAATAGCGCACGTAATTATTCGCGTAAATCACAAAATTGAAGTCACGTAATGCATATAATAATTTTTCACGTAATAATATTACCTAAGGGTTCTCGAGTTAGAAATATTAATCTCGGGTTTTAGGATTTTCGGGTTTTGGAAAGGTGGGGTGTTACATGGGAACTTTGTGATAGTTTTCCATGAGAAAGATCCTTTAAAAATAAAAACCAACCATGCCTTCATCCAATTTTGTTTAGACTGCCAATTTGTATTTTATGTTTCCCCTTGTCTTCACAATAGTTATGATTATCAAGTGACCCCGATAATATGTTTAATCATGTTGTCCCTTTTCAAGAAGCTTACATAATACTACACATGCATAACCGGAGAAAAAGAAGAAAAAAAAAAACTGATAGTTTTACATAGAACACGGGTGAAGATGCTCACCTGGTTTCCTGCATATCTTTGTTGGATAGCTTTGATCTTTGGTTGAAGATTCTGCATTGCTAGCGTTGATTCGACCTTATATATAAACAATTTCAGATTATTCAATAGATACTATCTAGATAGAAATCGATATTTATCGAATGAAGATAATCATACACAAGGCAGAAGTAAGAAATCATACACACAATAAAGTAAGTAAACCCCGAGAAACATAAATAGTTCAATAAATAAATAAAGTAGGCTAGAGCAAACTGAGTGGCAAGAGTACCTGTTGCTTGGTCAATGGAAATGTGGCAACTTTGACAAGAATAGTGAGCAGTATTATCGCAAATCCATACGAATACGACACATGGACAGCTGCAAATCCATCCTTGAGGACCTGATGCAAGTAAAGTTTTCGTGTTCATGAATTATGTTAATGCCTTGACAAAAAGTGTTTGAATTAAGGGTTTTCAAATTCTTGGTTATTGAACTTTATTACGAGGCAGCTCAAAATTGACTTTCGATCACCATACATGATGATAAATGATTATCTTGTTTAATGTTTTCACTTGTAGAACTGATTTAAAGTAAAGCTCTTCTTACCTTCAAGACAACTTCCATCCGCCTCCGTCCGCCGTCGCCACGGCAGCGTCGGCGAGAGTGTACATCAAGCTCTCAGCTCTCTCAATTGAGACTGAATTTAACTTTGGTACTAATCCATGGCGGGGGAAGGAGAGGAGGAGTTCCCAGGAAAGAAGGGGATCCCAGGAAAGAAGGGGATGAAATCAGAGCCCTCGCCATGGAAATTTAAGGTGAAAAAATACGGAAATTCGATTCTCCGAAAATCCGGGTCTGCTTCTTCTTATTCTTCTTTGAGATTTTTACAGGTGATGAGTGGATGGGATATTGTCATTTCTTTCAGGATTTGTCTGTGTGTGGGGCGTTTAGTCTTTTAGTCTTTTCGTGCATCCCTCGGTCAAGCTAGGAGGTTAAACGAATAAATATCAGGTTGTTAAAATATTTATGTTGTCATTCTTACCAAAAAAAAGAAATCCGGAGAATTACATTTTTGGCCCCTCGTATTTTGACCGACTCCACTTTTGATCCTCGTTGTTCTAACGTTCACCTCCAAGATTCAATTTTAAACACTTTAGATCACCGCCATTACATGCCCCGTTAGAAAGTAACAGAAAAACAATATTTTGGGGCCAAAATTGAATTTTTTTTTTTTGGACTGGAAAATAAAATAAAATTAACTAAATAAATTATTTTTAATTATACTTAATATTGTTATATTATACTATTTATAATTAAATTTTTAATTATAAAACAATAAATTGACTACACAAATATCATGATCATCTATGCTTAATATTATTAAAAAAATTAATTATAAGCAGTATAATTTAAATTTTTAATTATTTTTCAGTCACAAAATAATTTTAAATTTAATTTTGGCCCCAAAATAGTATTTTTCGTTACTTACTAATAAATATATAACGGCGATGACCGAATGTATTTAAAATTGAACCTTTGAGGTGAACTTTGGAACAACGGACACAAAAAGCTGGATCGGATCAACATGACGGTCCAAAAGTGTAATATAATCCTCCCAAAAAAATCTTTATTGAGTTTTTCTAAGATTAACTAACATAAAAATAAATAATTTAATAAATCCAATTGTCTTATAGTACGATTACATAATATTTAAGGGTTAATCCGCAAGTTATTGAAATATCAAACTTCAAAGAAAGTTCAATTATTTATTTAATCATGACTAATTTCACCAACTAGACGAGGCCTTAAGATATATGTAAACATTACTCGAGACCGATGTGTTGTTCTCTTTGAGTTCATGTACTTTCATCAAAGTAATGCACTATTTTTTCAATATTAACCTTTGACTGGAAGATATTAAATTAAATTTACCCTTAGCTGAAGAAAATTCAGACACAAAATCAAGTATTAATTTATTAGGTGTAGCTGCATGGTTGATGAGACTCCACGCTCAACAAATAGTAGACCAGTAGATGCTGCACAAATATTCCAATTTTTTTTCGTAAATTAGACTACTTATTTTATTATCCAAACACACCCTATAAAAATCATAACCAACTTACTAATCTGTAGAAATCTGTATTTTCATAAATATAAATAATTCATCAAAGACTAGCTAAGTCATTTAGTATTTACTAACGAAAAACAGGCACCGAGCGGAATACTTAAATATCAAAGTTCGAATCCAGTGTCCAAGTTTCAAGTTTATTATTACACGAAAAGATCATTACATAATACACATTTTTTTTTAACCCAGCGAGCAGATTGAGCGCAAACTTACCTCGATAAGCTTAAAACATTATGCAAGCATCTAATTCTACCAACTAGTGTCTCGGTTTTCTCAGATTTTCCCAGCTAGAAAAAACCAACCTCAACAGAGAATATAAAACAGCTTGTAAACAAGAAATTACAAAGTTCCAACAAGACGAGGGCCAGTACCATGGATATAGCAATCGGAAGAAGAGACTTATAAGATGCCGAGGGTACCTCCCAACCTGTAAAACAGTATTTCGAGTTATATTTGACACTTAATTTCGGCACAAGAATAATTATACTTGATAGATTATACTTTATTACGTGCAATAATCACTCACGGGAAAAAGACAATCCAAGGCATCCCATGCTGCATGACGAACAGCTCTCGTTGGATACATTGGACCACCGGGCGATGTGAAGCTGTACAGACATGTTTTCAGTCTTGTACTAGTTGTCATTCTAAGTTCTAGACCTGTCGAAAAGAAATAAAATAAAAGTATTACCAAAAGTGATGTTACTACTTTATTCGATACAAAAAAAAAAGGAAAAAGAAACAAATCAATTCGTTAAACATGCCGCTCACGATTACAAATTAGCAGTCCTTACCTTGGAGAACTTTAAGCTCAGAGAGATAATGCAGAAGAACTGGCTCCACCTTTAGTTTTTGAAGCTGACAGCAAAGATATCAATTTAGAACAAAGAGTAGTCGACTAAGTCTCCCTGCTTGTGAATAAAACTTCAAAAGTATACATAGTTTGTTACCTGATCAGCCAATTCTGTTACAAATATGTCTGAGGGACCACCGATCAAGAAAGCGTTTGGAAAATCAGGAAACTGCTTCAAAAAGCTTTCAAGCTTGTCAACTGTAAAGATTCACATTTAAGATAAGTTTTCAAGTATTGAGGAAAACGGAACATACAATTGGGCTGTTGTGGTAAGCAAATATATATGTTGAAAGATTAATCAACCTGAGTTGTAAAAGAACATGAACCTTGAGAGAAGAAGAAACAGGTCTCTCTGAGCCTAATAAACGACCAGAAAATCAAGTTACAGCTAAATATGATTTCATGAAAAAAACATAAGAATCTGATAACGATGAACAATATAAAATGCTCGAGACCTGTAACGGGATCTTCTTTAATCTGTCAGAATATAGAGCAACTTCCTCTAGGAGATACTACAACCATTGACAAAGGTGATGTCCTAAAGTGCATACCTAACGAGGAATTTTAAGAATTTATATTATGAAAAACATCTCACCTGAAATAGACTTTGGAAACGCCTTGCATTTGTTTGGATATCTATCCTGGATTCATGCATATTAGATATAAGACAACTGCCTCAATCAAATTTCTAAGGCGTAAAAGAAAAGGAAAGGATATTTTGCTCTCTTTAGGTCGAAGGAAGTGATTTGTGTGTGTGTCGTGTGTGTGTGTTGGGAGAGGGATAACATTCTCAAACATAAAAGGTATATATCATCGGATGTAATCAAAAAATTTAGGAGTTTCGAGGAAGTAAAAAGAAAGAGATATAGATCATGCAAACACGGAAAGCGGAAAGTAGCTAGTCGGAGAGGCATGTTTCTTAATAGAAGTAAACCAGGAACATATTTCTTCTACTTCTTTCTAGGAAAACTCACTCATATCTTATATCGTACTACCTACCACATTGCAAAAATCACAATTTAGATTTTCAAAGAAAGCTGCGCCATTGACAACGGTTATCAAACTGCTACTAGCTTTACCTGACTGAGAAAATTAAAGAACATGCTTGACTTAAATCACACTATAGCATGCGAAAGACACTTAGTATGCTAAGCAACAGGTAAAATCTTCTTACCAGAAGACGTTTGTGGAACCTTGGACAAGAGCAGAAGAATACCGGAGTAGGACCTCAGGATTATCAAGCTGAACCTCGAACAACTGCAGCGTGAAAGTGCAAGTTAGAAAATTGGTGAGATGTAATGAAAATTTTCAATTGTCACTGAAATGAAGGAAACTTCCACAATAGAGTAACGACATACCCACTTGTGGAACAAAAGAGAGAAAATATTCGATGCAAACGACTGGCTCCAATGTTGTACAATCAGATCGAGGATTGACTTCTCATTTTGGGGCATGCTAACAAAATAATCGGCAAGAACATCGTAAAAGCATATAGGGCCACCATACCTATCGTCCGCCACGGAAATTGAACCTTCCTCGCCAAAAATAATATCTGCTTTTTGAAAACCAGAGAAGTACCTTCAAACGTTAGAACCTCTAGTACCACAGAAAGTATTGTGGGGACTTTCTAATCTTATCTTCAAATACGATATCAATAGAAAAGATACACTGCAAACAGAACTCATCGAATAGGTTGAAAGAGGTTATTCGAAACCAAACGGACAATAATCGAGTTACAGAAACAGCGTCTTAAATTCTATTGCAGGAACCTGGAACCAGTAACATCACAACAATTATTTGCAGGCTCAAGTAGTTTTAGTTAAACATGCCAAAGAAAATTACCAAGATATTAATATGTATCGAAACTGATTGCCGGCTGCTTCTATATGTATGTAACAAATCGAACCTCTCCTTAACAGTTTTGCTTCGAATTCAAATTAAATTCAGTAACGGCATGCAGTATCTATGAACTTATCAATTAAGTGCTAAAAAACGAGAAAAACGTGCACCAAAATAATTCGTGTGATTTTACCTTTCGCACGGTCATCTACTTCCAAAGCTACGTCCGCAAACAACTCCTGCAACAAATTTCGCCTCTGCGAAGGAGAAGCCAACGCCTGAAGAATAAACAGCCAAAATTAATATCAAATATCAATCAATCACTAAAAAATTAAATTAAAGTACCAAATAGGAAAGTAATTTTATTTGAATTAAAGGTTAAAATTAAGGAGGAAAAAAAAGGAATCATCACATAAACAGGCAGAAACCCCATAAAATCGATACAGATTGAGAAAATTACATACACGGCGGAGCTTCTTCTCAATCTCGACGGCGAGCGCCGTGAGATAAGCCGAGCCGCGAGCCGTTGACGACGGTGGCATTCTGATCAAATGTGAATCATTTCGAACGAAAAAAAAAAACGGTCCTGTATATTTCTACTGCGGAGGCGTACGTATAGTATAGATACAGAAATATATGTATTCACAGCAATGTCAATTTTTCTGAGGAGAGTGAAGATTGTAAAAATGGGGGTGTGAACGGAGATTGCTTGTTACCGACAGAGATGAAATCTGGTTTTCCATTTATGTATTTGTAATTTATTGTGGTTTTGATGAGTCAGCAAAATAGCCATATAGGTCCTTTTGATGACGTGGCGTGAAAGAAAGAGTTTTACTATTTTCACCACCTTTGTTATTTTACTATCATCATTTTAATTTAGAGTAAAAAGCAGTTTACCCCCTAACTAAGGGCCGTTTTGCACTTTACCCCCAAACAAAAATAATTTGCACGTTTTTACCTAAACTACGTTTTTCGTTGCACGGTGCCCCCTAAACTCAATTTTCCGGCAATTTTGAACGGAATATTAAAACATGTGCTTTGCACGTGAGATTTTGAGGGGTAAATTCGTCAATCCACTTAACTACTATATATTAAATATAAATAAATCATTAAAAAAAAAAAGAGAAAAGGGAAATTATCATCGTCTTCCTAAAGTGAGTAACCTGGCAAAGAAACAATAGGCATTCTCAACTGGACAAGAAATGCTTCCTTAGTTGAAACCCACTTTCCACCTTCAACATCCGAATATAAGTTTTCAAGATTTGATGAAATTGGGGTGAATTTGCAGCAGGGATTTCACCTTCAACATCCGAATATAGGATTCTCACTTGGACGGCGGTGTGGGGGTTGCCTGAGCTGGTGAATCGCCGATCGCGGCGAGCGTGACTGCCGCGGGGACTGTTGAAATGGCGAGTGCGGCGATTGGTCCGATCGGGAGGCGGAGGAGAATCCAAATCCGCCCCGACACCGAAAGGATCCGATTTCCGACCGAATCATACAAACTCCAATTACCAAAATGGGCGGTTCCCGCTACCAAAAATCGGTCCTGCAAAAAACCCAAAATTTTGGATTTATATATGTAAAATAGAAACGAAAAACGACGAAAACAAAATTCGAATTCTACATGTTTCGAAAAAAATACTGAAATCTCTGAGCGGAATTGGCGGCAGTAGCTTAGCGGAAAGTGGTGATAATTGTGTGACGAAAGTGAAATAAATCTGCTCTTCTATTTTTTGCGTTACTAATTATTAATTAATTTTGTCATAAAAATATTCTATCTGTTTAAGAAAATTACATAAACGTATTTATTATTTATTATTATTGGTGATTAATTGTGTGAGGATCGGAGTATTAGTGGAGGAATTCACCGGCGGTCAGGTTATTGATGCCGGCGTGAGGAGCCCATTGGGAAAGCCGTTTATACATACTCACCCATTTGGAGAAAATTTGTTCAGAAAAATAAAACAAGGGAAGAAGATGAAGAAGAGAGGGAAGAGATGATGATGGTCTGGGCTTTTTTTTTTTTTTGGTTTTTTTAATGATGTGGATGTGGATGACAGCTTCTTTTTCATTTATTTATTTATTCTTTTTTTATTCTTTTTTTTTTAATATATATTTGTATTTAATATTAAAGATGCAAGTGAAGGGACGAATTTACCCCTCAAAATCTCACGTGCAAAGCACATGTTTTAACATTTTGGTTAAAATTGCCAGAAAATTGAGTTTAGGGGGCACCGTGCAACGAAAAACGTAGTTTAGGTAAAAACGTGCAAATTTTTTTTGTTTGGGGGTAAAGTGCAAATCGACCCTTAGTTTAGGATGCAAACTGCTTTTTACTCTTTAATTCAAAATCATAAATTCACCACACATAAACTCTCTATTTTAATAAATTAAAAAAAAATGGAGTTAATTATGTTAGAAAAAGGTTGGAGTTACTTGCATTGTTATCATCCGGCCTGATTTAGCACGACATAAGGAACCAAGGCCCGATAGTTGGCTCGTGCTGAAATGAGAAGATAAGATTGCATGGGAATTCGGGCTCATTTTCCTACTTATTTGTATTTTGATAAAGTCGGACCAAAACATTAAAACATGTAGTCCCGCAAATGTAACGCTCAATAAGTAGAACACGTTGTCATTAGACTAATTGAGACTGATGAAGAGTTAACGAGTTGATCGTAGCTGATGAGATGAGGAGTTGAAAAGGTACATGTGTTGAGAGTAGCTGATGAGATGACGAGCTGAGAGTGGCCGGCGAGATGACGAGGTACGAGCTGAGGGTAATTAGTGCCACCTCGTGACTTAGGCACTAAGGTTTGGAGAAATATATTGAATTTGAAATGACTCAGTTAATTAAATTAGGTCAAACTATGGCACTCGTAAGGCTTCTATAAATAAAGGGTTCATAATCCTCAAAATGAAAGATCATTAACATGAACATTCTCCCTCTTCTTTCTGAGTATATTTTTATGGGTGTTTTAATTTAGGTGTCAGAGTACTAACGCTTAATGTAACTCACTCAGCCTATTTCGGTCCACGATAAATTATGTTTATAGACTCGGTAATTGGATTTTTGAGGATTGTGAAAGAAAATCTAGTATATATTTTGTTTTGGATTTATAAGAAATGTTAATATACATTTTGTTTTCTTTCTATTTTCTTAATTACTTTATCATGTATGATATATTTTTTTCTAAATTGAAAAGTAACTAAAATCCAATTAAAATACCTAAAAACTAAAGTTGTTGAAGAAAATACAAAATAATTATAGAATATTTAGATAATTTTTTTGATATAATCAAATCAATTATATAATATTTTATAAATTATAAAATAAGGGTAATACACAATACTTATAAAAATAAAATACAAATAAATTATGGAATTGCAAAAAAAAAAAAGAAAAAACATAATTAGCTAGGGAGCATTTGCTAATTGAAATTACTCATTTCTCATTTCACAATTTATTTCTTTGAATCCAATCACAAAAGTAGACTTCAAGAAAATCCCTCCGAGAAATGAGGCCGCCCATTCGAGCCCGAATCCCCTTCTCCAGACCGCCCTCCGCCGCCGCCCACCGCCGGTGCCCAAAAGACGATGACGAAAATTTCATAGCAATGCTAAACGACGTCGCACGGAGCAAGCAGAGCTGGACAATTGCCCTCGACAACCCCACCATTTCCGCCCGCCTCACCCCCCTCCACATCGAGGGTTTCATCCTCCATAACCTCCACGACTCGAGGTTAGCTCTCCGCTTCTTCAATTTCCTCGGCCTCCACAAAAACTTCCGCCACTCCACGGCGTCGTTTTGCTTGCTGGCCCACTCCTTAGTCCAGTCCAGGCTCTACTGGCCGGCGTCGTCGCTCTTACAAACCCTACTGGATAGGGAACAGAACCACCGAAGTGCTGTTGTGTTTCGGACTTTGTTTGATTGCTATAAAAGATTCGATTTTTATTCGGCCTACGCTTTCGATTTACTGATTCAGAGCTATGTCCAGAGTCGAAAGGTTCTGGATTCGGTTGTCGTTGTGAAGTCAATGAAGGAATGTGGTTTGTTTCCTGAAGTGAGGACTGTGAGCGCAGTTTTGAATGGGTTGATCCGAATAAGGAGATCCGATATGGTGCTCGTCTTGTTCGACGAGATGTTCGTGGGAAACGACGGGCTAAGACCGGATGTTTATGTGTACACCGCTGTGATTAGGAGCTTGTGTGAATTGAAAGATTATGATAGAGCAAAGGAAATCATTAGCTCGGTTGAGAAGAATGGAGATTGCAAATTGAATGTGGTTGCGTATAATGTGTTGATTCATGGGCTATGTAAGAGTGGGAGAGTGTGGGAGGCCGTTGAGATCAAGAAAACATTAGGGTTTAAGTCTTTGAAAGCTGATGTCGTGACATATTGCACTTTGGTCCTCGGTTTGTGTAGAGTGGATGAGTTTGGACTTGCGCGAGACTTGGTGAATGAGATGGTGGGTTACGGGATTGTTCCAAGTGAGGAGGCTTTATCGAGTGTTGTAGATGGAATTAGAAAGAAAGGGGAGGTTGGTGAGGCTTATGATTTGATTGATAAAGTCGGGAAACTTGGGGCAATGCCGAATATATATGTTTGTAATGCTATGATTCACTCCTTGTGTAAAGATGGCAAGTTAGAAGAAGCGGATTTGCTTTTCTTGAAGATGGAAAAAAAGGGGTTGCTCGTAAACGATGTAAGTTATAACATCATCATTCATTCGTTCTGCAAAAGAAGAAAAGTAGACGAATCCGTTTCCGTTCTTGGCAAAATGCTCGGTGCAGGAATAGAACCAACGGTTTACCCATATAACATGCTAATTAGTGGGCAGTGCAAGTTGGGGAAGTTGAGTGAAGCCCGTGCACTGTTTGCATCAGATTCATCCGGCAATGAAGCGGGTCTTCTCTTCTCCACTCACCACCTTATCCTTCTGCCGCCCGTCATTCTCGATAGCAAAACCCAGCGCCGTTGCCGTCAATCCCAGATCTAACATATCCTCTCGATGTGAAAGAGAGTTTTAATGTAAAAATTTAAAAAAAAAATCATGTATAATTAGCATTACGGTCTTCCTTATGAAAGTTTTAATGCATTCGGTTCCCTCGAATTTAAAATTCTGTCTACGTTAATGATTTCAACCGATAATTAATAAAACTACCCATTATTGAGACTATTGAGTCACTAAGAATTTCACGTATTAATTCGTCAAATTAGCAGACATCAAGAATGTGTACGTAATTATCTTCGGATTATAATAACATATAGTTTGAGGACTGAAATGAGATTTTATTTTCTTGTATTGTACTCCAATGCAATTAACCTTTTCATTTGCGGCAGCCCCATTCGGCCGTTCCATTCACGCGCTTATCACAAAGAAAGAACATCCATCGTTTCGTCGACCCTCAAACCGTTATCACGGACGTCTTTTTTAACGGAAACCGTCGACGTTTAATCTCAATCCTTCGCCCTCTTCCTCAGTTGTAGATTGTTGCAGAGAATTCTAAGATCTTTGCGTGGATTAACGTACTCAAGGTAAATTTCTGATGAAAATTGCTGAATAGACTATCCTGAAGAACATGTCTTTGTCACATAGTCAAGGAACCAATGAAACGCCACGAGATATAAACCAGAAATACGAAACAGAAAAAGAACCATGGGAATAAATTAATCGCGAAGAAAGAGAAGTCGAAAAAAGGATACTCAAAGAATTTGCTAATATTAATCCAATTGCGCCTGCTGATCGTATAAGTAAGACATTCAAGACTAGGTAAATCAATGAGAAGACGAGTAACGAGTCATTCGACCGTTTGAGTTGATTCTCTGTTGCAACTGCATGCATAAATGCCTCGGATGTACCTGATAAATAAATAAAAGAAAATCACTTTAATTCCGTAGAAAAAGAACACCTTAAATATGATTCGAGATTTTGACTTTGTTATATTTTAAAAATAACCGAACAGAGTGATATGCGTCAATGTTTTACCATTCATGGCCAAAACTATCACGTAAAGGCAAAAACATTGGAGTGCTTTCGAAGCTTCTCCGTCACTCCATTTCCTACCATACAACAATCTGATGAGGGAATAAGAATAGCTTGGGCCAAACGCAATAACCCCTAAACCTGACCAAAGAAACAAACATAAGTTCTGAAAAGAGAATAAAACGATAGATTGTTAGCAAAATCACATCTTAATGGTTACGAATTACGATACGCACTTGAAATATTAAAATTATTAAAACACTATGTGAATGAACTAGCATTTGGAGCAAGAAGCCTATAAATATGTCATGTAACTTTTCTACACAGACGTGATTATTTATGTCAGTTAAAAATTATTTATCTATGTTTAAACTTCTAACAGACGGACTTCATTTTCCTTCACGTTATCATTTCAGATATACCATTTATGAGTCACCATATCGAATTAAATAGCTTCTAGCTAAACATGCTACAAGCAGATGCAGTTTCACAATGAGTATCGTAAATTATAAATTTATAATATACAACTTTTAACAAGAAATTAAGCTGGCAATACTATACTATAACAAGAAATTCAGCAGGAACTGTGACAAAGTAGATACCTATTAGCAAAACAAGCTTCAGCGCATCTGTCAGACGCCTTCCCAGGATCTTCTTTTTGTCCTTGTGATCTCCTGCATGCACATCAAAATTCACTCGTGAGAAGCTAATGCAATATAAATCTATAATAGGTCAAATACGCCCTTGCCAAACACATTCCGGAAAATTTATCTACAGCTGCAAGTTGAAACATAAGATTTCGAATATTGCTCATCGTTTCCTTTATATTTTATGATAATCATGTGTTGGTTTCAAAAGCTTTTTGGGCAATTTTTGACAAATTACTTACCGATATGTCATCGTATAATTCAGCATCTCCAATATTTGCAAATACTAATTCAAAATATTTTATTTTATTTTCCTTTCAAATTCAAATCCTATTACAAATAGGAGAATATGGGAGGTGTGGGATTTGAACCCTACACCTTGACCCTAGTGATGAGGGCTAGGTACCAACTTTGGTAAATTGTGTTATAAAATAATAAAATATAACGTTTACTAGAGCGCAATATTAGAAAACACGTAAAAGGAGAGATATATAAACCTGATGCAGACCTTGCAAATGTAACATAGGAACTTTCTTCAAATGGAAGAAAAACGAGCCTCACAACTAAGCTCCCTGAAAATTATCCATATCCACCAATAGAATCCATCTTAAGAATGCATGCTATCTCATGAAAAGTTAAATTCAAGGCAAGGCAAAGGATTATGATTGACATACCTAGTTTATCTACGAGACCATAAACTGCTTGGTTATATGGTGTATCTAACCATACAAGGACCATCTTTTCACCTTCTTGAAGAATCAACTTCCGGAACGATTGAAGAGTAAAAATCACACACATGTTCAGAAGCGGTCTGTTATGATCCGTTGTACTTCCTACCCTGCAACAACTTTTTCAGTTTTTCATTGAAAAACGAAAGAAATGGCATCTTTTACTTTTGAAAGACGTTTGACTCATATTGTATAACAAAGTACTACCCAAGTTTGTATATTAAAATAAAAATGATCCACCAACAGAAAAAAAAAATTAGGATGAATAATAACGGGAAAGAGGAACATACAGAAACAATGAATATTCGTCAGGCATCACAACAAATCTAGAAAATATTGATAACTGATTCTCAAAGAATACCAGGATGGAAAATCTAGAAAATGTATTGAAAATTCATGCAGCTTAAAATAATGAAGGGGTAATTAGTACCTGAATGGAAATAGAACAGAAGTTCTATACACACGAAATAGAAGAAAGTAGCCCCAGTAACCGAAGAAAATAGTTGCTCCGTATGTAACCTGTGACAGGGCAAATACAATTGCTTTCTCCTGCAATTCAGACAGTAGTACCTTAAATCATTAGTTGATGTTAAACTACTTGGAAACCGTTTCACATACTAACAAAATATCTAGCAAGAGGACACAAAGAATCCATAATTTTGTTATAAACAGAGACAGTGACTAGGGACCAGTCAGAGTACACCAAGTGAAGCAAACAAAGATGTTTGTAGAATCAAGAAGAAGAACACATGACATCTGAAGTAACTAAATAGTTGGGTCGAAAAATTACATACTGCCGTTAAATTCGGAAATAAACATCAAGCATTACTATATACCAGGCTTGGTTGCTTCAGGATGAGGATAGATGTTATTATGCAGCGGAAAAGAGTAGCTGCAGTTTCAACAACCAATCGCAATCTGAGAAAAACCAAGTTCTGGGATAATATATAAAACGGCTCTGCCAGTAGCTCAAGTACGCATGCAAAACCTGCATATTCATATTATATCAAAAGTCTTAACTATAGAGAAAAAAAAAATATGGAACAGAACTTTAACTATATTTAATTAACAGTTCTATTCCCCAAGCATAATAATTGGTCGAAGGATGTGACTCACCCAAAAAAAAGCATCTAAAAAATGATTCGTCGATTTCAAAATTGAGGAGTTAAACCTAATGAAACCAATCAACTCCCCATCATGGATGAATGAATGAATGAACCGACAAATGACCACCTCAGTTCTATAGTAACAACATTAATAACATTCAACACCCATTGATATTGTTGATGAACAATGAAACAGCCAAAATAATCAATGAACGCAAAGGCTACATTAATTGATGTTGCATTTTGTACTCTTAAAGTTAGCTGGCACTCTTGCATTAAATATTTTCAAATGCAATACATTTGTTTTTTTTTCTTCTAAATTACCTCAATCTTATTCTTGACGAACCCCAACAACCCACATGATTAGATTTGCGAAGCATGTGAGTATGTAATTAGCTCACCATGAATCAAGATAGCTTGTGCATATGGACTAGAATAACTTAGGCCTTGCCACCAGAAGACAAATAAACATGCTGCAAGTGTAACTAGTATTCCTAAAGGAAAAGTCATCCAGGCCACTTTCAAAAGTTTAGCAGCATTTACTCCTGTTCCCGAATCACCATCACTGCAAGAGACAGGTAAATCGATTCCCCGGATTAAATTCAGAAAACTGAAGAAGACTAATCTTTCATGCATATGCTTGCGTTTGCAATATATCCGTCAGGAAATTATTGTTGGAAGCACTAGAGGACTTAGTAGACATGAGTATTTAGACGATTAAGGGAACAAGAACATTTAACTGCGATAAATGTTAACCAGTGATAAGATCAGTTTATATCGAACTTTACTACAACAGGAAACCACCTTTGCAAATATAATCGAAGTAAAGCTGCTAAATGTCATCCATATGATCGATATTATGTGTGGATTAAGAGCACAAAACCACATGATTCAATTGAAGATATGTACTACCTAATGGAAGCAATAGTAGTGAAGGCAATCAAGGGCTAAACAGCAAGTATAAGAGAATGGACTATATATATATATAGAGGCAAAAATAGCAAAAATGAAAACATTCAAAGGTACCATTTCATATCTGCCCTCATGCACGCTCGTCGAAACCCCTCTCGACTTAGAAACAATACACAGGTAACAAACAGATATGGAACTGTACAGCATAGAGCTGCATCGTGTCAAGAAATACAGTGAGTCAGATAGCAGCTCCACGTTATGACAAGACAGACAAGTCATATTATCAAGTTATACACATACGTAATTCTCTTGAATTAACAATGAACATAAAATCAATAACAAGAAACTTCTGCCATAGAAACATATGAACTCAGAACCAGAAACTTAAACATGCCAAGTCTTTAAAATATCATTAAAAAAAAATGCCGGTGCTATACTGGGGTACCCAATCGAATCTTGGCAACTCGAATTCACCCAAAAACTCCAACTCTTACTTCATTTAAAATTCATTTTTCTAAAATAATGTCTTGCCTTTCCTCACATAATTCCATCGTTTTTTTCAAATAAAGTTCGCACCAAATCCCCCAAAAAGAGAAATTAAATGCTAAGAAAATAATAAATAGTAAAAAATATGATTACCGCGTAATCTTCTTCGGAGAGGTGTCTGACAATCCAGGAATTGAATATGAATGGGATTCCTCTTGACAGAAACTGCGTAGCTATATATATTCAATCATTATACGCAAAAAAAAAAGAAAAAGAAAAAAAATCGACTTCGGAGAATGAAAATTAATTGACGGATGCGAATTTTACAAACCTAACAAGTACTTGAATCGGCATCTGCCCCTCCGTCGCCGGAATTCGAGTTAGGCATATCGGAAACCATTTTTTTTCTTCTTTTTCTTTTTCTTCCTATTTATACTCTGGTGTACCAGAAACGGGTTTAGACTTTAGAACCCACTGACCCGAATAAACAAGTGGGTTTCCAAAATTAGGAAATTTTTACGGTTGCTACAAGCCTTTAATTTAACTATTAACAACCATCTAATTGAGTTGTTAGTAACCACTTTAATTTGGTTAGTACGAAACTACTTATGGAAATCTAATCGATTTGATTAGTAATTGAATTTTTAAACAAATCAAGGAAAGGAAAGAAAAGAAAGAAAGATGGAGGGCGAAAATGCAAATAATGGAAAAACATAACCAATTCTCATTGTTTCGTTCATTCCAAATTATTTCTGTCTTTCAAAAAAATATAATTTATGTCAAAATACTACGGTATAATACTATTCAAATTGTCATTAAAACACTAATCTTAATTTTTGAACAATTCTTTATTATACCTTGAGATATAAAAATAGGGGGTGAAATTGTAAGCTATGAAATTATATGTTTACTTTAAGAGAAATAAAAAGCCATAAGTACTAGATTGCAAATTTTGGAAACTTAAAAAACCTTTGACTCAGATTTAGGTATCCATCAAACCACGACTAGGCCCCTCACCGTCTTCTTTTTTCCGTTTTTCTTCTTTTTTTTTTAATCAGATTTTTCTCTCCGAGTCACGGTGTGAAAATCGATTTGGTTAGGGATTCCGGAACGGAGGGCACCGTTCCCGTTCCGTTCCGGCGAACCCTGGGACCCACCGTTGGAATAATTGGTGATTTCCGGCAGAGGTCGCCGATGGTGGCCGTAATCTGAAGTTCAGCTTTTGGCTCTTGAAAGAATTAAATGAACGGAGGTCTTAGCGGTGGATTATTGATGATAGAAGGTACCGTTACAAACCTCGAGAAATATGAAGACCTAAATATCATCATCTAATTGTTTTTCTTCCTGGTGTTATTTTTCAAATGTTAAGATTATTAATGGTAATAAGTAACAGAACTCGATTTTTTTCTTCTCCTTTTCCACCATAAAAAGAAAAATTCAATTTCGAGACGGAAATTCAGCCTGCTCGCCAGAACCCTAAGGGAAATAAAATCTGCTACCGCATCTGTTTCGGAGCCAAAATCGAAGGGTTTGGAGTCTGAATTTGGGAATAATTCCTTCTCAAAACTCGTACAGGACCTCGAAAACTAAAAGTAAGTGGTTAATTTTTTCCAATTCGAGGACCTCGAAAACTAAATGTAAGTGGTTAATTTTTTCCAATTCGAGCACGTGGTATAGCCTTTTAGGGGTCGGAATCAGACGACAGTGAATCTGTCAAAAAACAGGGCAGTTTTGCCTAATCATCTTACGGAGCTGTTTTTGTTATGTTGGAGTAATAATTTAGGCTATGTGTCTTCTGAAGTTTTTTCTGTATTCATCTCTTCGGGCTGTTATTGCTGTGTTATCTTAGTGATTTGGGTTGGTATCTTCGCGAAAATTGTAGATAAAGTTGTGACCTTTTATTTGGTATATTATTTTCCCAATTTGGATAAGCATACGGCCTGCTACAATTTTTGGAAGAAAATGTGACAACAAATAACGTTGGATTTTAGTTTAATGTTCATAGTTAGCATCAATCTGAGTCATCAGTTATTTGAAATTTGTCTTATGCACATTGAGCAACAATAAAGTAATGTGATCGAAAGTGAAGCTTAAGAAACTAATGGATTCTTATTTCAGGTGTGTTATTCGTTGTTGTTTACCTAAGAAAATTTGGTCTATGGTGCTGCTGTTGGTGATCTTTCGATTTCGATAGCGCGTTCCGAAGTTTAAAACAATGGAAGTATTCGCAGTTTGTGATACAGTGAAGAAGGATAACTGATCGTTCCTCTCTCCACTCTCAGTCACCGAACCCTAATTTCCCGAGGAAATAAATGCCATCACTCCAATCTCTGTATTTCTCTTCGGCTAAACCCTTTCACATAAACCCTAGAACCCCTGCATTATGGAGACTCCTCACCACATCTTGCGCTTACTCTAATCCCACTCCGGTTGAGAATGCCGACTCCGATGACTTCCGGGAACCTTTTTCCGGCCGGCCGGACAATTTTTCCGGCCGCAAAATTGAAGACGCGGTGGCGTTGGATCCCGGAAAATTGAGAGTCGATTCATCGATTCCGTCTCGGATTCCAGACCTAGAGCATCTAATAAGCAGAAGTTCCACTGCATCACCAACTCAAGTAAGGCAGATCCATGCCCAACTACTCAGAACAGGTCTCTGTCAATTCCCTTATTATAGAACCAAGCTACTCTCTCTCTATGCCAACCACCGCTGCTTTTCCGATGCGAAAAACCTTCTGTCGTTCGAACCCGATATTATCTCATTCACTACCCTTATTAATGCATCTTCCAAGTTTAACGATTTTGATAACATTCTCAGTGTATTTTCTCGAATGCTCAAACACGGCCTTTTTCCGGATGCCCATGTTTTGCCGAGTGTGATCAAGGCTTGTGCCGGACTACTGGCTGTTAACATCGGAAAGCAAGTTCATGGGTTTTCTTTGGCATCTGGTATATCCTTGGATTCTTTTGTTCAGTCTTCTTTGGTTCATTTTTATGTGAAATGTGATGAATTAGTTGACGCTCACAAGCTGTTTGATAATATGGTTGAGAGAGATGTTGTTTCTTGGAGCGCATTGGCTGCTGGTTATGCAAGGAAAGGGGATAGAGTTAATGCGAGAAAAGTTTTCAACGAGGTTAAAAATCTTGGGTTTCAACCGAATACTGTGTCTTGGAACGGTATGATTGCAGGGTTTAATCAAAGTGGGTGTTTTCTCGATGCAGTTTTGATGTTTCAGCAGATGCACAAACATGGTTTTAAATCAGATGGGACTAGCATTTCTAGTGTTCTTCCTGCAATAGGTGACTTGGGGTATTTAAGTACAGGCACCCAAGTTCATGGGTATGTGATCAAGAACGGTTTTGCTGTTGACAAGTGTATTGTAAGTGCACTCATTGATATGTACGGCAAATGCGGATGTGCCTTAGAGATGTCACAAGTGCTTGAAGATATGGGTCAAGTGGAAGTTGGGGCTTGCAATGCACTAATTACAGGGCTCGCTCGTCATGGTCTTGTTGACAAGGCGCTGAGGGTGTTTAAAGAACTTCAGGGTCAACAAATGGAATTGAATGTTGTTTCATGGACTTCGGTTATAGCGTGTTGCTCACAGCATGGTAAAGATATCGAGGCTTTGGAGCTTTTTAGAGAAATGCAGTCTGCTGGTGTGAAACCGAACGCTGTCACCATCCCTTGCTTGCTTCCAGCTTGTGGAAATATTGCAGCGCTTATGCATGGAAAGGCTGCACACTGCTTCTCTCTTAGAAGGGGCATTTCAGGCGATGTTTATGTAGGCAGTGCACTGATCGATATGTACGCTAATTGTGGAAAAATCCAATTAGCTCGATGCTGTTTTGACAGGATGCCTGTTCGTAATTTGGTTTGCTGGAACGCAATGTTGGGGGGATATGCAATGCATGGAAAAGCAAACGAAGCTATTGAATTTTTTCTCTTGATGCAGAGGAGTGGACAGAAACCTGACTCTGTTAGTCTCACTAGTCTCTTATCTGCATGTAGCCAAAGTGGGCTTACGGAAGAAGGGCATCGTTACTTTGACAGAATGACCACGGATCATGGTATTAAACCTAGAGTGGAGCACTATGCTTGTGTTGTGAGTCTGCTTGGTCGTGCAGGAAAGCTTGAAGAGGCTTATTCCATGATCGAGAAAATGCCGTTTGAGCCCGACGCTTGCGTCTGGGGTGCATTGTTAAGTTCCTGTAGAGTTCACCATAACATGAGCTTGGGTGAGGTTGCTGCTCGTAAATTGTTCGAACTAGAACCAATGAATCCCGGAAACTACATTCTGATGTCTAATATTTATGCGTCAAAAGGAAGATATAAAGAAGTTGATAAAATCAGAGATATCATGAGAGACAAGGGACTGAGGAAGAATCCTGGCTGCAGTTGGATTGAGGTGAAGAACAAAGTACACATGCTTTTGGCTGGAGATAAATCGCTTCCTCAAATGGCTCAAATCATGGACAAGTTAAATAGATTGAGCATTGAAATGAAGAAAGCAGGTTACTCGCCGAATACCGACTATGTGCTACAAGATGTAGAGGAACAGGAGAAGGAGCATATCTTATGTGGGCACAGTGAGAAGTTGGCTGTAGTTTTTGGTATTCTGAATACGAGTCCAGGGTCTCCTCTGAGAGTCACGAAGAACCTAAGAATCTGCGGAGATTGCCATGCTGTTATTAAATTTATTTCTAGGTTCGAGAGGAGAGAAATTTTCGTCAGAGACACAAATCGCTACCATCACTTCAAAGATGGTGACTGCTCGTGTGGGGATTATTGGTGATTTGAGTTCTCTCTGGGGTAAAGAAAAACCTCCAGCAAAAATACTCCCGATTCTTGGCCTTGGACTTGCGAGTATCTACTCCGAGGACGAACCCCTTGGGTTTGCTAACTGGTGAGTTTTAAGCAAAAATAGTTTGGTAGATTATTGTAGTTTAAAGTTATCTATTCATTCTTGTACATGTATATCAGTCTTTGCTTGCATGACTCATTGAAATAATCAATACTATGCATTCTCCTGAATTGTTTGCATTTAAATGACTTTTACGGCACGAACACATGCTCACTTAAAAGCATAGGCTACATTTAAGGCGGTTAACTTTTGCAAATTAAAGCCGTATTTGTATAAAGTATTGACAGCGCGACTGGTATTTGAATTAGATCCGAGCTCGCGCAAAGTATCTTGGTATTCCACTATTAGGAGATGATGTGTACGGAGGAATCAAGAACATTCAGTCAAGGAACCGTAGTAGTTATCACGAGCAATTTCAGCAACTTGTTGCTAGATTAGAAAGGCCTTGCCTTCATGCTTTAAGACTCGGGTAAGCTTAATCTATCTGGTACCTTCTCTTCATTACTAATAATATTGTAATAATACATGTTAGTAGTGTGTAATAAGCTTCTTGTTGTTGAGGTCCTGCATTTTTCTCAGATACGACGTATTGATTTTGCTGAGATCCTGGATTTGCTTCAGAACATTGGCACATTGAAGGCAACATTTTTCAACAAATCGCAACTTTTTTTGCCCTTGCTAATCTGAATTAAAGTGTATTAGGAAAAAGTGATAAGTGCTCATTGGTCGATTCGGTAAAGAAAATGCGAGAGCTATACCAACAACAGAAAGAAAGAGACTCTCTTGCTAGAGATTGGATTGCAACTGCAGCCCCACTACAACAAAAAACATCTATTACGACATATAGTTAGAGACACTTTTTCACAAGCGTCCCAAATAAAGGATATTGGGACACTTCATAAATTGCATCTAATTATTTAACTTATCGGGGCACTTATACCTCAAATTGAATTTGCGCAAAAAAAAAAAAAATATTATAAAATAAATTCTTGTTTATTAGTTCCATTTTCTTTCCATCTCATTTAATCTCCCAGCGTTCCCTTCTTATGCACCGAACGTCTCATCTCCTTGAAGTCGAGAATTTCTTGATTAAACTTATGAAGGTAAGATCTCTTTTCTATCTTACGATTTTGTGTCTCTCTCCCATCCTTTTAATCTTCTGAAACTAGGGTTTAGAAACAAAATTTTGAATTGGGCGAAACGAAGTTAGGGCTTGAAACGTTTTTCCCAATTTTCATTTGACGGCAATCAATTTCTGTTTCTCTCACCTATATATTTCTGTTTAATGAACATTTAAATTCGACGAAAATGGTTTAGGGCAAGGATTATGAAAGTGTTTCCCCATTTGCAGTTCGACGGCAACAATGTCAGGAATGTTCGAGCGTTGATGAGTTACGATGTAAGAGTTTAATAAAACAAATTCAGCTATGGTAGCAATGACAATGAAAGGTATTGTTTTTTCTTTCTTTTGACAAATGTAAATTTACCTTATTATATGTATTTCTTGAACTTCTCCGAAGAACTAGCTTGAGAATTTTTTATGCTTAACCATGATTTTTCACTTTTGAAAGGAAAATGCATGTGACTTGTCCGATTTTTCACTCTAATGTGATGAGTGCTTTGATTTGGTCCCCGATTACCACCTAGCTATTATAAATTTTGGTAATGGGATTGATTATATAACTGATTAAATTTTGCTATTCCAAATATGATTTTTATTGTTAAGAAGAATACATCAAGTTAATTTTCTTTTGTAAGAAAAATTAGTTTGTACTGCTAATAAACAATTGATGGGGTCTGTATAACTAAGTTTAAGATTGAATATGGGATTTTGATGTTGGAGTCCTTGAGAAATGCATTTACTGTGTTTTTCTTGCCAATATATTTCTCCCCACAATGTTATTGGATAGTAACCATAAACAAATATCATGTTTGTTAATTACTCTTATCTAATTGGTATTTTGTTTTATTTTTGCATCAACTGTTATTTTAATGGAATAAAAATATTAAGACTAATTGTAGTATATGTTTGGTTATTTAGGTCCCTTAGGAGATGTCTCATGTGCTCTGGCTAGTGTGCATCAGATTGCATAATCTCTTTATTACATCTGAGTATGGCGATAATTTATTTAACGAAGTGATCTTATTACTGAGACTTATCTTAAGCAACAGGTAATGTAATACTCAACTTTATTCTTTTCTTACCTGTTTTCTTCGTGATAATTGTTTAAAAAAATTTGGTTGCTACAGGGGAAGGCTGATTTTTAACAAACCTATAATGAAGACTATTCGGGTATTATTTGTTTTCAATTATAGTTCCTTATAAGACTATCTTTCATATTCTTTGTTTTGTACTTGTGGCATCAAGAGATGTACTGTATCTTTTACTGTTGATTAATTGTGTGTTGAACTATGTCATGTCTTGTAGACCTATGATTTAAGGATTTTGATTTAGTCTAGAAACATGGCAAGAGGTTAGAGTTTACATTTGCATTATGTTCATCCGCTATCTTATTTATTTTTGCAGAAGGTGTTGATTAAGTTGAATGGTATCAGGTGAAAAAAAAAGGTAAGAATAAATTTCTCGTATAATTATGTTCAAACAATTGGAAGGCTCTTGGAATACATATTATTTGGGCCGTTTTACTGGTATGTATTATTTTATTTTTTCCTTATCTTCTGTAACTTTTTAATTTTTTTTATGAGGTATTAAATATAATTTGTTTATGCTAGGTAGAAAAAAAAAAGGAATTTCCCCAATGATTATATTCAGATAAATAAGAGATGGTATGTTATTTTGCATTTTTATATGTTTACTCATTAATGAAGGCACTATAATTTGTAACTTATTTTTTTATTCCTTCGTGATGTTTTTTTTTCTTTCCTACAGGTTGCTTATGCAATTGCTTTGAATGATGAATTTTATTGTTGATGCAAGCCATCTAGAATATGATGGGAGCTGAATCATACTGTTGAAGTTTAGAGTTGCTAGAGATTAAAAGTTTAGTTAATCAAGATATTCAAATTTTACATTATAGGACTATGATTCCATAATGTTGGTTGGTTTGGAAGATCCTTTGTAGTACTATGATTTTTCTAAGTTGAATATATTTGAAATTTTTGTTATGAAAATTGAGATTATTGTTATGTTGTGTTTGTTATTTAAATTTGTATTTTATATATATTTTAGTTATATTAGCAGGTGTACGCAGCGGAAAACAATTTTTTTATTTTATTTATATAAAACTAATTTATATAATTAACAAGCACGTGCACAATAAATTACAATTAATTGCGTACCTTTTCGCTTCCAATCACCGACAAACATGCTCGCATATATAATTTATTTAAATAACATAAATTAAATCATCATAGCATGCTCCCGAAATTAAAACAAATAATATACATGCTCAACGAACGATTCACATAATCACATAATCGAACATATAGATTCATGTGATTCAATAATCAATTAACATACATTAATCTCAATTAATATAAATTAATTAATACATGTATATTAATTAGGGAAAACGATATGTTACCCTTGAAGCGTGAATCGAACGAAGACTCGAGAAGATGACTAGCTGCTCTTCCCACTCATACTGATTCAACCTGTTTGGTGATCTGAAATTATAGTCCTGCTCCGACTTCAATATCTCCAGGGTTATTTATTGGATGGACAATTCCTTCAGGAAGATTGTAGACTTATGAGTCTTGAAGCTTTTTTCAAAATTTCACGTTCATCCGATCACCATTTGATTTATGGCGAATTTTCTCGCTGGACTCCGCAGAAAATTCGAGAGCAGTTTTTCAGAATTGCCTTCTCGCATCACCGGCTTGTGGCGGTCAGTGAACTCATCACCTTATGATTACCCACTTATGTATGCCGATGTCACAATACCGTTGAGTGATGAGATGCAGTACACATACACTAAGTGCTAGTCTCGAATGGGGAAGGCCGATATCCTCATTAGTGGCGTAACCCGTTAACTAGGAACGGTGTTTAACAATTACTATACTTAAATAAATAATCTCACGTTCTACTAGATCTATTTACAGTAATTAAGTAACTGCAAGGACTACATCTATGCTTGTGCAAGGGACAAATATATAGAATGCCAAAGGGGTTTTTTTTCATTAATAGGAAATAGATTATTTACGAGTAGCGTGAGAAAACACTGCAATTAGTTGGCTCTTCGGTCACCTACTCTAACAATAACATTCAAAGAGATATCTACTTGAATTCCGATTTCACTGATTTAAGTTTTGTTTAATAGAGAAAACATCGACCCACCGTTATGTGTTTGATGATGCTCGGCTGTCGATTGCTCAACTGAAGAGTTGTTTTAGCCCAAGAGAGTATATAATGTTGACAGTCATTGCCGCATGTGTGAGGTAGTCGAAGAGGAGAACACCGCTCGTTAACCTGCAAAATAAATCATGAAAAATTCTAGGTGACACGCAACGGGTGGCTCGACACTTATCCTCCGACACTCACTCTGAAATCGGTTGGAGAGTATAAGCAATCAAACCTTTAACTTTAGAAAATAGAACTTTGATTCATATGCAAATGAACTCGATTATTTATAGGTAATGAAGTAGAATATTTCAATTGTGACACTAACGTGAACAAGAAACATAAGGCGTATGTCTCCCCATAAGCTTTTGAGAAGACTTCACATTATGGCTTTCCGTTGGTCTTTACCCTTCAATGAGGTAATGGGCCACCGAAGGTATTTCCGAAAGACAACTATCTTATCCTAGAAAATATAGTGGCTTTTGTATTAGTTATTGTACTTTATATTAGATGTATTCATTAGTACATTATATCGTGTGCATTAATAGTATTATTAACTTTTTAGCATATTTCAATAAAGATAGTATAAGATTAATATTGGGGAAAAAAATAAAATTATTTAAAAATAATACTAACTTCCAAATTAGGGCTAAAATGTTAAATAATAATGATATTTTGAAAGTTCAAATTATATGTCGGTTAGTGTTTATTGCATTGTTAAAATGTACAATTCTTCATAGATAAGGGATTTTATTTTCAAGCGGTTATGAAATTAGAGATGGCCCATGCAGGTCTCGAACCTGCGGCCTTCGCGTTATTAGCACGACGCTCTAACCAACTGAGCTAATGGGCCGTTGGAAATATTTTCAAAGACTAAACTAATGTTCCTGAAAAAATAGGCCGGATTCTCTATCAAGTTACTAATAATTTATATTTTATGTGTTTTTGAATACATGTATGTGTATATTAATTATATTATTAAGATTTTAAATATATTTAATAGATATAGTACAAACGAAATCTTGAAAAAATGGTAAACTACTTTGAAAGTCATAACAACACTTAAACTCATATAAATATTGTTAAAAAAAATGAATTTAATTTATATTTAAGTGAAATTTTGTTATTTAAAGGTCGTGCATAAACTATGATTTCAAAATTAGTTAAACATATTATAAACCATATTTTGCTAACTAACACCTTCACTAATGTACACGTCTCTCAATTCGCACGCCTGCCAGAGATTACTGATAAACATAACTACCTCATGGACTAGGACTTAAACACACTAGAAAGAAAGAAAGAAAAAACTTAGAAATCATCAAAAACTTGCTACAAAATCGAGCTCCGACTTCACACGATACCTCAATGGAAAAGATATGGCTTTGTTGCATTGCAAAGTGTTGAAAACAAGTAGATAGGAGCTAGGGATTAGGGTTACGGCCTACTATAATCTAACTACTGCTAACTAATCCATACTTATTAATATAACCTAGTTATTTCCTTCCACAGTTATTTCCATATTTAAAGTAAATCCTTCTAGTTCCAACACTGGATCCATAGTTCTGAAGTGGAGATACTCTACGTGTGCTTTTCTTGCGTGTACTTAGTCAGAGAATTGCGTTTGACAGGTTGCGCTTTTCTTAAATGAAAGTTGGCCCCATTTTTATTCAAAACATTACCGCTTCATCTATTTTATTAACCAGAATTCCAACATGTAAAACCTAATCACGACATTTGTCCAACATTTCATAAGCCATGTCTTGTAACTGCACATTTGGACACTTCTTCATCATCCCATCTGCGTCGTCCCGGGTGGCCTCTTCGACTGGCAAAGGAGTCCACGATATACAATAAAGTCAACATAATAAAGTGAGATAGTTTTATCATAGCTCTTTCATCTGAAGCACAAACGCATAAATTTAAATTGCAACAGACAAGCCAAAAAATGAAGTTACAAATTAAATATTTTGCACTTTCAAAATTGGTTTTTATCATTTCAAAGAGAGTAGAATAGTTAACATGATACAAAGCTAAGATGAAAAAATGCTAAAATAAATTAGAAAATATCATTGAAATATGAAATGATCGTGAAATGCATTGAAATATTGTAGAATCAGTTATACTGACAGTAAAATAAGTTATAATTAAAGTATAGTATGCTGGAATGATTACAAACATACAATTTTTGTAGTACCTATAGTATTCATCACAACTCACCCAAATGAAATGTTCAAGTTCAATTGAAAATCCAACAATGTGGATCTATATAACTTTATGTCTTGTATTTTGTGAGATTTTGTTATAATTTTGAAACATATAATAAACTAAATTTGAAACATATAATAAACTAAAATAAATTAATACAATTTCTATTGTTATAACATTCAAAGAGATATCTACTTGAACTCCAAAAACATCGACCCACCGTTTATGTGTTTCATGATGCTCAGTTGTCGATTGCTCAACCGAAAAGTTGTTTTAGCCCAAGAGAGTCAACCGAAAAGTTGTTTTAGCCCAAGTTGTTTTAGTCGAAGAGGAGAACACCGCTCGTTAATCTGAAAATAAATCATGAAAAATTCTAGGTGACACGCAATGGATGGCTCGACAATTATCCTCCGACGCTCACTCAGAAATCGGTTGGAGAGTATAAGCAATAAAACCTTTAACTTGAAAAGTAGAATGTTGACTCATATGCAAATGAACTCGAATATGTATAGGTAATGAAGTGGAATATTTCACTTGTGACACCAACGTGAAAAAGAAACATAAGGCGTCTGTCTCCCCATAAGCTTTTAAGAGGACTTCACATAATGGCTTTCCGTTGTTCTTTACCCTTCAATGAGCTAATGGGCCACCGAAGGTATTTTCGAAAGACAACTATCTTACTCTAGAAAATAGAGTGGATTATGTATTAGTTATTATACTTTATATTAGATGTATTCATTAGTACATTATATCGTGTGTATTAATAGTATTATTAACTTTTTAGCATATTTCAATAAAGATAGTATAGAATTAATATTGGGGAAAAAAATAAATTATTTAAAGTCAACATAATAAAATGAGATAGTTTTATCATAGCTTTTTCATCTGAAGCACAAACCCATCAATTTAAATTGCCATAGACAATCCAAAAACTGGAGTTACAAGTTAAATATTTTGCATTTACGAAATTGGTTTTATCTTTTCAAAGAGAGTAGGACAGTTAATATGATACACAGCTAAGATGAAAAAAATGCTAAAATAAATTTGAAAAACCCATAAAAATATGAAATGATCGTGAAATGCATTGAAATATCGTAGATTCAGTTATAAGATAACATATTTCAATAAAGATAGTACAAGATTAATATTGGAAAAAAATTTAAATTATTTAAAAATTATAGTAACAGCCAAATTAGGGCTAAACTTTTAAATAATAAAAATAGTTTCTAAGTTCAAATTATATGTAGGTTAATTTATTGCATTGTTTAAATATACGATTCTTAATATATAAGAGATTTTACTTTTAAGTGGATATGAAATGTGAGATGGCCCATGCAGGTCACGCACCTGCGACCTTCGCGTTATTAGCACGACGCTCTAACCAACTGAGCTAATGGCCCGTTGTAAATATTTTCAAACACTAAACTATTGTTCATGAAAAAATAGTTCCGATTCTCTATTAAGTTACAAATAATTAATATTTTATATATTTTTCAATATATATATATATATATATATATATATATATATATATATATATATATATATATATATATGTTTATATTAATTATATTATTAATATTTCAATATATTTAATAGGTATAGTACAAGTGAAGTGTTGAAAAAAATGGTAGACTATTTTGAAAGTTATAACAACACTTAAACTCATATAAATATTATAAAAAAATTAAAAGAATTTTATTTTTATGTAAAATTTTATTATTTATAGATCGTGCATAAATTATGATTTAAAAATTAGTTAAACATATTATAAATTAGATTTATCTAACTTAAACCTTCAATATTGTACACGTCTCTAAATTCACACGTCTGCCGTAGATTACCGGTAAACATAACTAATTCATGAACTAGAACTTTATATTAGAGCATTCATTAGTACATTAGTACTGACAAATGTAAGACATTGTAGCTGCGTTATCAATACGAGCACAAAGTTTTATTTAGACGCAATAAAATGTCCCATATTCGGAAACGACATCCAATTTTCATAAGGGGCAGGTATAACCGAACATGTCATTCTCGCTTCCAATTCATCAAGCGTATCTCGAACTTTGTGGATATTCATTTAGATATCATCATTCATGATGAGCTCATTGACCAAATCTCTTTGTACTAGACTCCTATTATCTTCCCCGAAGCCCATCATTGATGCAACCGCCCGAAATCCACAATGGCCATCCGATACAACATTTTTTATGTCTACCACGTATCATCGGAACTTCGGATGTATTTGTTTTATATACATATCCTTGGGAGTTTTTTTTTTGAACCTGCACATAAAAAGGTTAAATGAGTAATACAAAATGGAAAAAAAAATTACAGTGAAATATCGACATATTGATGTCGACAATTGTGACATATTTCGACACTTTGGCGTCGAAAATTGTTGCTTTTATCGACACTATAGTGTCGATATTCTACTGATATCTTTTCACGCCTTAACAAGTTTTTGGCCTTACCGGTAGTTATTCCAACACCGTGGATTTACCGATGCTTCGATTGAAGATGTCGGTTACCATTGAACCAGTGACCAGCTGTGGTATAAGCTTTTGGACACCAGAATTAGGCGGAGCGCAACTCTCAGGAGTCATAATCTACATTGTTTAACCAATGTCGCGTATTACTACATTTGAAACCAAAAAATGAACCATGAGATAAAAAAATCAAAAAATTTACCTTCAGGGAACAACTATCTTTGCTTGAATTTTGCTCGTACTCAAATTTGGATGGGTTACGTCTGGTTGATTTATCAATACACAATCTTTTTTCGAGACGACCTTGGGTAACAACTTTTTGCATTGGCTCAATCAGAGAGTTACTCTCGGGGTGAGTAATCTCCCGCAATTTCATAAGCAATTGAACCCTTTTCTTTGCGTCGGACGGATCGAAAACAGCTCGCCATGCGTCCATTTCTTCTATATCAGTCGGGAGAGTATCATCATTTGTACAAATCATTGGCTCCATGCTCAAGTGCTTCCAATACGGGTCTATCCAGTCCAATAATATGGGAATGCGATTTACGACATTACCATGAAGCTCGTGGGTACAAGGTAATCCATGAGTGGTTCGGATATCACAAATACAAGATATGAACTCGTTCGGAAGCAACTCGCGTGATTTGTTCACCTCAAGTTTGAGTTTCTCAAGAGCGTACAACGATACACATCCTCGAAGCTCGTTGTATATCGTTATTTTATAACTGTGTTGGTAAGTATTCATGCTCTTCTCAAATGAAGCTTTGATATCCATATTTTGATGCTTTAGTAGGTTGTCAATATGAGCCCAAATCTTAACAAATGTGCCCATACTATTTCCCAACTCTTTCTTCATCCGTGAGTGTGCACCCTCTGCCATGTTAGATGTGTCCGTTCCGAGATGCTTATGTTTGTTTGCCAAGCCGAGACAATCATCTCTTTATACAGATCCAACCATGAATTAACGACATAAGTTAGAGCATCTGGGTAGTCAACAAATTTTTTTCTTCATATCATCCCATTCTTTATGAAATAAGTCTTCTGTCGCTTGACACACAACTTGCCCAGGCTGACTTCCACTTAATTATCATTTTTTGTTTTGAACATCTTCTTACAATTACTAAGAATATTTGTCCTCACATTCCACCGACATAAAAGTTGTTGACTAGAGGGATAAACGATCTCTGTAGCCTTCATCACTGCCGGTTCTCGATATGTGACGATACAATTAGACCTAGGACAACTTTCCATGACCTTCGCCAAGCTCTTCAAGGCCCATACGTAATTGTCGTATTTTTCAGCTCGAAGGTATGCAAAGGCAATGAAGAACGTTTTATCCGTAGAGGTAATACCCACAATCTCTAGGAATGGGAGTCTGTATATATGTTGGTTTTGTATGTGCAATCCATAACCAATACATACGGACAACTACACGCCAATTTAATGCATGTAGGGTGGGTCCAAAACAAGTCCATTACCTCGCCGGTCTCCTCCAAATATCTATGATACTCAAAGTATTATTTTCGGACAACTTCAACATCAACAAGCATTGGAGTTCTATCAGCATTCTAGCATTCTCTTTGAACTGAATCTTCTTAAGAGCATTGTAACCATCTTAATTAAAGACGCATTTGTCGGATTCTTCAACCTTAGTGATGACAAGATGC